TGGGGAATTCTGGGAGTTGAAGTCCAGACATCTTAAAGTTGCCAAGGTTGAGAAACACTGACGTGATGTAACCAGAGACGCTGCTAAGATTGGAATACAAGCCTGACCAACTTGTAATTCCCACTCCCAGAATAACTCATTTCCTTAACTGCAGCTGCTTAATCAGCCTCAGAAAAGAGACGTTCTCTCTTCTTCTCCCATCTTAGTCCCTGGGATGCTGTTACATCAGGGAAGGAGAAAAAGAAATCTTCAGAGCAGAAGCAAGGGATGGAAAAATCTCCACTCCATTCTGGGTCACCCCAAAGAGCTTGGCTAGAAAACAATCCAAGCTTTTTAGAAAGAACAGTGACTCAATTAGCCAAGACAAGTTCTAAATCCAATGGCAGCTTATCTCTCTGGTTCAGCTGGAAGGGTTGGCAAAGGCTGTATAGAATGATAGGAGGATAGACAGATTCCGCTCTCTCTCTGCAATCCTGAATACAGCTCACCTCAGAAGCTCAGTGCGTCGAACTGCTTCCTGTAGTTCCATCAGCCTCTCTTTATACAGATTACGCTCCATCACAACGCGTGCCATCTCAGCCCGGGTGAACCGCTGGGTTCGGGACATCCCCCCTTCAGCCTGTTGAGGAAATGGACAGCCTTGCCTCAAAAGCTCAGATGAATTTCTCTCCATCCAAAGCTCTGAATCTCTCTTTTACCAGAAGCCCAGTCCTCCCAGCCTAGTATCCTCCAGACATATTGAGGCAGTGGTTTCCAGAATTGACCAGCCAAATGCATGTGGATGGAAACACACAACACATCTGGAGGGCATCAGGCTGGTCTACACTCCTGCCTCTCCCATCTCCAGAGACCTCGACACCTCTGCCAGGTTTGGATGAACCCTACCTCTCCATCTTCACTGGAACGCCTTGATTCCTTAAATTCCTGCCGGATCCTGAAATTCAGAGGTTGAAAGACTTAAATATGAACATGTGTTTTGTTTTTTAAATCAATAATAGTTTCAATATCCTAGAACTGGATTAGAAATCATATAACCAATTCAGTGCATTCATGCACATAGGTTGGAATATACAGTACATTAATTTTTAATTAAGACATATCCCAGAGTTTTAAAAAAAAAGGATTAAAAGGCAGCACTATAACATTTGAAAGACACAACAGTCTATTCCATTGTTTTCAAACTTGGCAACTTTAAGATGTGTGGACTTCAACTCCCAGAATTCTGGGAGTTGAAATCCATATATCTCAAAGATGCCAAGTTTGAAAAGTTTAAAAAACACCAGTCAATTCATTCTAGGCAGGACATTTATTTTTATCCCAGAAATTCTCCCCAGCAATGACAATTATAGTTTCTCCTATCTTAACATATCTTTTTAAACTTCATTCCATGTCTTAACATAGTTATTTTGAAACAACATACAATTCATATTTGTCATAGTGATACCTGGATATTTTACTTTCTTCTCAATTTTAAAACCCGTTTTATTCATCAGTTCTGTGATAAAAATGAACGTCCTGCCTAGAATGATGTTTTTGTTTCAGACAATACCTGTTTTGACAACCGATGCACCATTTAAACAGTGGCCAAAGGATCTATCTAAATTTGTGTGGTAGGGGAAAAAACCCACAAATTAAATACAAGATGTTACCGGATGCAAAGGAAAGAAGAGAATTGGGTCTCCGTATTTGAAATTGTATTTTGCAGCTTGCTTGGATGAAAGAGTGGCTGCTGCTGAGAAATAGAAGGCTTTTGGAGTTAGAAGGACATGACCTGAACTTTGGGTGGCATGATATTTGTGGTACCACAAAGTCAAGGTTAATGTGGATTTTAAAAATCATTACGTTAGACGTGCCATGCTGAGAATATGGAACAGATACAAATCCAGATTGTGCCTGAAAACACCTTTGTGACTCTCAGCACAAGAAGCATTTTAGAGAATATGGAACAGATACAAATCCAGATTGTGCCTGAAAACACCTTTGTGACTCTCAGCACAAGAAGCATTTTATAGACAAGAAATAATAGGCAAATACAAATGGCTAACCTATCGTGAGATACTAGAATTTTGTCAAGGGGAATACAAAATAAAATCAAGATGGCAGAGGGGCATAGCTGCCAATGATTTTTTTATTTACAATTATTAGAAAGATTTAAAGTAATCAAAAGAGTTTATGGTTTTGAACATTGTAAGACTGAGTTTGAAATGGGTTATAACATGTCTCTCTATAATCTATCCTGTCTAATCATCAAAACCATAAATCTTTGGTCATCTCAGCAAGTTCCATCATCGTTATAACATGTCTCTCTATAATCTATCCTGTCTAATCATCAAAACCATAAATCTTTGGTCATCTCAGCAAGTTCCATCATCTTGAAATGGAATTATGTACAAATGATGAACATGTAATTGCTAAAATGTATAAACTTCTACCAAAATTTGAAACAGAAGAACAGGTTAAACAATGTATGATAAAGTGGGCTAAAATGTTGGTTATAATATAAAGATGGAACAATGGGAAAATATGGCGTTGAAAGGATTGAAGTTTACACTGTGTTATAATCTTAAAGAGAATTTTTACAAAATGATGTACTGTTGGTATATGTCACCAGAGAAATTGTCTAGAATATATAAAGGCACTTCAAATACATGTTGGAAATGTGAACAAGAAGGGACATTTTATCATGCCTGGTGGACATGTAAAAAAGCTAGAAAAATTTAGATTCAAATACATACACTGATTTAGAGGATTTTAAAAATTACTATATAACTGAGACCAGAGGTCTTTCTTTTGGGATTGATGGACAAACAGTTGAAAAAGGTTATGGAACTTTGTTTTTGTACATGATAACTTCAGTGAGATTATTGTATGTGCAAAGATAGAAAGATTTGGCAATACCTACAATGGAAGAATGGTTGATGAAGATGATGGAACTTGCTGAGATGACCAAAGATTTATGGTTTTGATGATTAGACAGGATAGATTATAGAGAGACATGTTATAACTTTAGAGAAAAGTAAATTTATAATTGTACTTATAATTGCTGTAAAGAAGGTCGGAAGCCACTTCTTTGTATCTTTTTTCTTTCCTATTTTTCTTTTACTTTTTTTCCTTTCTTGTACTTCTAGCTTTCTCTTTGATTTCTTTTTTTCTTTCTTACTTTATATTAGTTTCTATTAGTTTTTATCTTCTTTTTAAAAACTTTTAATAACAAGTGAAAGTCCTTCTCAATCTAATCTCTCTCACAGGGGCATTATGGGAATAAAGGGAGAAGAACCACAATCGCTGGATCATTTGGAAGAAATCTGAGAAAAAATAAAATGAAATTATGCCCTGTCCCAGAAATGTGGCTATTTAAAAACTCATTACTCCATAAGGTCCTGGGTGCCTCTGGATATATAGTCATTCCATATTACTACTTTGAGATGACGCTGTACAGGTAGTCCTCACTTAGCAACCACAATTGGGACCAGCAACTCGGTCACTAAGTGGAAAATCACATGACTGCAACTGTGCTTACGATTTTACTTCAGCTTTCCTTTTTCCCCACTCCCCCACCCTTTGGAATGCTTACCCAAGTGCTGAGATAATCAGGAAGAGGGGAATTAACGTTTGTATTTATATTCATTGGAGAGGAAGGGATTACAAGAGAGTAAGCAGGCACACACTGGGGAATACACATTGAAGGGAATGTGCTACCACTGGTGCGCATGTGGCTCCAAGCCCCAAGTCCACTAGGCAAACAGTTGGCACTAGCACATTCCTTTTAATGTGTATTCCCCATTGTATGCTTTCTTACTCTCTTGTAATCCTTTCCTCTCCAATCTCTCTGCTCTATGAAGGGGGGCGGTAGAAAAAAATGAATCAGGCACAGGACAACACATAGTGGCTATAATGGCGATCACATGACTGAGTGATGCTGGGAAGGTCATAAATGTGAGCCTTGGTCGTAAATAACTTTTTTCAGCAAAATAGTAACTTTGAATGGTCGCTGCAGAAGGCAATCGGTAAGAGAGATCTACCTGTACTTTGTTTTATCAAATCTAGTGTTGCCTGGTAGACAAAGCGGTGGAATAAATATGGTAGAGTTGCCAAGATTTACCGAAGAAGTTCCAACTCAGCCTCTTTCAGCTGTGCTTGGCAGCAACGCAGGTCGGCCAGTGATCTCTCATGCTCCATCCGTAAAGATTCACGCTCTTCACTGAGCTCCTCCACACGATCAATAAGATGGCGGCGGGCTGTATCCAGAGTGATTCTGGGGATGGGATGGCCAAGCACGTTAAAATTTTAAAGCCAGCAAGAGCTGCATGGCCCAGAAGGATGTGCTGAGTCTGAACCCAACTAAAACACCAGCAGTCTTATGGACAGCAGGTTTGAATCTATGTTTAACAAGCGTTCTGGCTCTCATTAATTTAGCATAGCAAAATAGGTGTTTGGTCTTACCGTGCCTCTTGAAGCTGAGCATTTTCTGCTATCAAGGTTTCAAAGGCATCCCCTGCAAAGACAGTTAATATGGACATCAGTGACATCTGCTCTTTATGCATCTGAATTCCCTGTAGATTGGAAGTTACAGGGGTTTCTGAGAGTGACAACCAAGCTGGGATTCCTGGATTCTTGGGGAGGGGAATAAGTCCCAGCAGGGAAAAAATGCAGAAAGAAACATTATATTTACCCTGTAAATCAGCACCATCATCCATATCGGTGAGGAGGTCTGGGCTGAGGCCTGAAACCTCGGCGAAAAGGGAGACCGTGTTGCGCTCGAGGGTGGTATTCAAGGGGCTGAGAGACAGACAGACAAACAAATAGACAGACAAGAGTCCCCACCCGCCTCCATCCTGCCAGTAAGATGCAGCCATGTCTAACCACGCTAAACAGAAATCAGTGAACGGGTGAGGGATGATGTCTATGTTGAGGGAAGATCACTGGGGGAGAACGTGAACTCGGTTGCCCTCAGTATATCACCTCTTTGTCTATTCCATGCAATGAGAAGAAGGAATAACCTTGAGGAACAGGAAGAAGAGCCACAACCAAGACAACAGTCAGATAAAAAGAAATCTGAGTCTGGGGCCAAAACTGTAACCTGAGAAAACATCTCAGACAAGACCCTCCCTAGTTCTCACAAACATAAAGGGATGTGGGAGGAAACACATTGAGACTTGCAAGACTATTGTCAGCCCTCCAAAGAAGACCAAACTTGGAAACCAAAGACACACAAGCTAATACTACTTTTATTATAAAGTTATAGTAACAGAATCTTGCAAGTCCCAATGTGCTCCTCCCCGCTTTATCTTCATGAGAACTAGGGAGGGTGATGTCTGAGAACACTTTCTCAAATTACATTTCTGTCCTAGACTCAGACTTCTTTTATCTGTCATCTTGGTGCAGCCCTTCCTCCTGTTTTTCAAGGTTATTCCTTCTGCCCATTACATCCCAAGACTGCAATGTTTTCAAAACAGCAGCCACAGAAGAGACGCATGAAGAGAGAGAAGCTGCCTGTCTGGCCATCAAACTCAACGGTATATGATCCTCCAAAGCAGAAATTAGGATGCCTAGAAGAGCTAACTCTCCTTTAGATGACAATGATGCAGTAGGGTGAAGAGGAGACTGGAAATGGCAAAACATTGAGGATGGTAAGATCATGCTGAGATTAAGATGCATGAAAGAAAGGCCTAGGTGTTTTCTTATTCCACTAGAGAAGTATCTCTAGTCAGGTGTATACCAAATATACTTTCCCAACCTGTGCTTTCTGCTCAGAAGTATAATTAGTAAATACATTCCCCTTACCTGCTTTGCCTTTGGGGGTCAGATCTGAGTTCTGGGGTAGAGCTTAAAAGGTCATCCAAGTCAAAGCAATGCTGACTAGGAGAAGCTGATGAGAGAAGAAAGGGAAGACCACAAAAATGTTGTTATTTTTATTGATTATTATCCCTAATTATCTCCCTAATCTTTAGGAACATGGATACCTCCTTGCAAGAAAAAAATTCCAGCTCAACCCTCTTGTTTTCATCTGCATAAGTCTCTACCAACCGAGGGATATTAGATGGGGTCCCACAGTGGTTCCTAACCCAAACGTACGTAGGCCACTCTATCACTTTAAAACTCTACCATCCATAGATGTATCCTGCAACTAATACCAAGCTGGGATATGTGACTTCCAATCATTTCATTAAAGTCAGTGGAGCATACTTTAGGTCAGTGTTTTTCAACTTTGGCAGCCTAAAGATGTATGGACTTCAACTCCCAGAATTCCCCCAGCCAGCATGGCTTGAAGTTCACACATCTTCAAGCTGCCAAGGTTGAGAAACACTGCTTTAGGTATAGAGAAGGTCCTGACTTCAGTTTTTGGCTGTTGTGGAAGCATGGAGTGGGGTGTGTGTGTGTGTGAAGGACCTTTCCCAGGAACCTTGGAAAAACACAGCAAAGCAGATAAGAGCACAGTGTTGCAGACTAGGGACCAGCAACAAACTTGAAGAGGCACATTCAGCCTGTGCCAATTATCTGCAGCCTTTGGCAATCAGTTCAGGAAAGTTATCTGCACCTTCCTTGCAGTTTGCCATTGGAAGAAGGAGAAAAGAGAGTACCAGAAAGAGAAAGGGGGGGGGGAAGAGGAAGAAGGGTGTCAGAAAGAGAAAAAGGCAGTGTTGGTATTGGTATCAAAGTCTACACAGAGCTCTGCTTGCTTCAGCCCTCTTCACCATCTGACACCCCAGCAGATTATTCCTGAGCGAAAATAATCCTCAGCAGGAAAAAAAGTTGACAGTTTGGTGTAGGAGTTAAAAGCACCAGGCTAGAAACTGGAAGACCATGAGTTTTAGTCTTGCCTTAGGCACAAAGCCAGTTGAGTGACTTTGGGCCAGTTACTTATTCTCAGCCCTAGGAAGAAGGCAGCAGTGGCCAACCACTTCCGAAATCTTGCCAAGAAAACTGCAGGGACTAATCTTAGTCTACTTGGAACAACACTCCAGTTTCGGATTAAAACTGATCCTACCAAAGGGAGAAAGAGAAAATCTCCTCCATACCATCCTTTTCCGGCTGGATGTCCATTTCCTGTGCCAAGGGAAAAGCATTTCTTTCTGCAACTTTCTGGGGTGTTTTCTCTGAATGAGCAAGTTCATTCATTTCTCCATGTTCCTAAAAAGATCCAGCCGATTGAGAGAAAAACAGAATTGGTCTTGTGGCTTCCCTTAATACCCCTGTTTCTCACCAGCCATCCGCTTACAATTTTTCAGAGCTTAACCCCCAACCCTAATCCACATACCACTGGAGACTCAGGAGGCCTGAAGTCTGAGGTGCTTGTCAGAAGCTGTAGAGGTACACGAACTGGTGGGGACATCAGCCTGTTCATTGAGAGAGAGAAAAGAAAAAGATCTTGATTTTCTCCTGACTGCACTGGGCTGTTTAAATGCTGTGGCAAGGCTATGTCAGCCGGTGCCATTTCTTACACCTTCCACTTTGCGCTAAAGTTAAAATAATCTAAAATTACCAGTGTAGTTAAAATAGGCACATATTCTACCCCACCCCCTTAAAAAATTTAAAGTAAAGGGCACCAGTATCATACACTGAGAAAAAGCACATAGTTCATTGCTATTGTTAACTGCCTGTGAGACTTTATTGTTATCTTTTTAAAAGGCAAGAAAAGGCCACTACTAGCCAGATTTGAAGGGAACAGGGCAAACCTGTCACCAAAGAGGCTTTCTTTGTAGCGCTGTGCATGACTTTTGAAGGCAGTTGGAGAACAACTCAGCTGCAACCCATCTCCACCCAGTCTTTTGGGAACAACTAGTTTTCATAGCTGTGGAGGTGGCAAGTAAATGTCAGCACACACACATCTAACTATCTTCACATATGCAAATCTTGACAGTCGCCTGTGCACCGTTGCCAGATCTGCCTTTATTTCAATATGCTGATGCCAGGCCACCACAGAGCTCTTCCCTTCCACAGCAAACGGCCAATAACAGTGGTGGGTTGGGCCCTGTGGTATGGATAAAAGAAACTAGGGCACCCTGCAATTCCCCACCCTCTCATAATTCACCCAGCCATTGTGGATTTCAAATCATGGTTTATATCTTCATATGGCATAGGAAAGCATTACTCAGTAACACACCGTGAAATAAAACATGCTGAATCAAGCCAGGATCATGGACAAAAAGCTTCTTCTTTGGCAATAGGAGGGACTCGACTTGGTTTACAGAGAGTGCAGGGCTCCCTGGTAGATCCCAAATTTTCCTCCAAGCAAGGGAGGGATCTAAAGCAAAAAAAGGTGGCTTTGGAGGAGGTGTGAATGCAGACACGGCCCTTGCTGGTACCTCCTTAAGGAAGTCCTATCATTTCCTGAGCTGCACTTATCTCAGGAAAACACATGTTTGAGTTAAGTCACTGACAGGGTCCCCCAAGATGTTTTGAAGTGAGCATGGAGGTGCTATCAGTGCTTCCAGACCTCAAACATGTATCTTCCTGGGAGTGCATAGCTCAGGAAAAGATGCCACTTCTGTAAAGGGGTGCTGACCTTAACCCACAGCTCCTCCAATCACTTTTTCTGCTTTGGTCCTGAAGTACTGCACACACACCCCACTCCAAACCTTTTCTCTTCTGCTGATGCCGAGCCAGTTTGTCCTGGACCAGTTGATGCTACCCTTTGTGATCTCAGTTCCTTGTAGCTTTGCACCATCTGAAAGGAACAGAAGAGGAAGTATGAGGGTGGCCTGGCTTGGAAAGAAAAGGGGAGGAGGGGTGGGAAGGGCTATTAAAATGCTTCTGCTGTTTAAAAGTACCTTTGCGTGGCTCTGACTGAGAATCGAAAGCTCCTTGAGCAGTGAAGATTTTTGTTCTTCAAGGCTAGCCACTGTAAAGGCAAGAGAGTGGTGTTTTATCAGTACCAAAACCTTAAGCCAGCCTTAACTTGGCCATTTTCAAACATAATGCTAAAGTATTTCCCTCATATTTTATCTTTATAGTTCGAGTGAGAAGGGGAGCAGAAATGATCCATTCCCTGGAAGATTAACTGTGATGATCCAGTTCTAATAACCAGAAATCTCATGGGTGAGAATACTCTAATGTTGTAGATTCGTGCAAAGAACACTGAGGCTGTAATCCTACGTCCATTTGGGAATAAATCCCATCTGAATGAAGAATAGTCTGTTTCAAAGAAGAAATATATAGGATGGACTTATACAGCTTTTCTGTATAAGCAACAGAGATTTTTACTAGCAATGCTACGTATACAGTATTTTTTTTCACGGAGGAAAGATTCTTCCAAAACCATGGATGTTTTACCTGTTCTATATTCTATGTAAACTGCCCAGAATCTTTTGATTGCAGTGGGATAGAAATAAAATATATTCCCAAAAATAAAATTGGGAATTGCAAAAAATAAAATTAACATTAATTAAAATTAACATTTAAAAAAAATAATAGTCTGCTTGTTCCTGAACTGATTTTTTTAAAAAAAAGTAATGTTGAATAGAAGACTCTCTTTTTTTTATTGCAAGTCTTGAACAGGTTGGTTTGAGCAGTACCAGAGGAATAAATGGATATAGTTAGAAACCATGTATAATCAAGTTAAACAAAACTTCACACAAAGGGAGGCAGTAAAGCAGCAAGTTAACATTTTGCCAAACACCAATAGCACTATTAAACCCTGTTTCCAGAATAGAATACTCTATTCGATGTAGATTGAACAAATTACCAGGCTTATCTGCTAGACAGAAGGCAAAATCCAGCAAGATTGCAACTCAGATGAAAGAATTAAATTGTGATGGGCAATCAAATTCCCTTCACCCATCCAGATGTTAAGTCAATGGCCAGAGTTCAATGGCCTTCAACTCCTACAGAAAATGTGTACTGCCCAGCAGTTTAATCTGTATCTCCTACTGATTTTGATGTATCTTGAGAAAAAAAAATGTTTATGCTGCTTGTACTGTGCCTGTTGTCTTACACCCCAGTCTTGGCTAACTAGATAGACCGGCCTAGCTAGAACTCTCAAAAGCGGAGATGGTGCAAGGGCACGAGATTGGGCATGTCTGCTACGGGATGGGCATAGGAGGGACCAGATGTTGCTGCAAGCAAAGAGAGGGAAAAGATAGGAGGCCTGTTACTTGAATCTATTCTGCCCGTATTATGGCCTACCTGCATCTGAAGAGACAGAGGAGGCTCTTGCTACAGGTTGCAAAGGAGCATGGGATGGTGGCACATTGGCACTGCGTACAGATACTTGGCAAAAGAATTATGCTTACCCTGATCTGCGTAGCTTCGTGCTTTCCCCTCCAGGGCTCGGCTCTGGCCTTCTAACTGGTGTACAGCCATTGAATGTGCCTTACGTTCCTGCTCCGTCACATCCTCCAGCTCCATGAACCGCTGCAGAAAGAGAATCCAAGTGTCAATCTCTCCCCTTGTCTCGGGTCTCTTTCACGACATCTCCAAGCTTTCACCATCGAAAAGCGGTTTGCATCTCCCTCGGGCATACTTGTCCTCTGCCACGTACCTTCACTCCAGTTCAAATTCACTTCATTGGGGCAGATGCTGATCCACCACACACAATGGGAAATTATTATAATTTATATATTAAGATGTATCCATCTCGTCAAGGTGGCATATATTATTTTCACTAGTCTGGGGGCATCCTTTTCTTAATCAAGAAAGAAAGCCATTGTCTTAGCAAAGTCAGGGTCAAACGTTACTTTAAAATTGGGAGCGGTATAAAAAGAATGAATAAGTTAGACCTGCTTGTTTTCCCCACTGATCACAAAAGCCAACAATAGCAACATCCTCTTTGTGTTCCTAGTAACTGTACTGGATATAATATAAAATAGTCATCACACACACATGCACACAGAGGTTGAGTTTGGCTCCTGGTTACTGACGTGGATGCATACACGCAGTTTTCTTGGCATGATATGGAAGTAGCTTTTTGGCTTCCCAATCTAGCCTGAATATGGATAACTTTATCCTTCATGAACTTGTTCTCTTTTGAAGCCACCCAATCTGCCATCACATCTTGTTTATCTACACATTTTTTCCTATCCTTTTACCATTGAGTTTCATTGGATCACCCTGGTTCTACTAATATGAGAGTTAAGAAAAGTCCCTACCCACCTTTTCTACATTGAACATTATTTTATATACTTTTGATCATGTTCCCCATATTTGCCTTTTTTCCAAAGCTAAAAAAGCCTCTACATTTTAATCTTTTTGAGGAAAAGACTTTGGCCAGCTGGACAATGCTCTTTTTGAGATGCAGTGACCAGAATTGTATTTGATATTTGAGGTGTAGTCACCATACACTTTTATATGAAAGGCATTATGAAATTGGCTGTCTCAAGCTCAGTTTATTTCTTAATGATCTCCACAACAGCACTGGCTTTCTCACAGTAGTCACATATACATACAAATTGACATCTTCATGTCAATACATCCTTTCCTAACCTGGAGCAATTCACGCTCAGCTAAGATCCCATCTGCATATATGTGAAGTTAAGGATTTTTGCTCCAATATATATCACAGTTCATTTGTTCATATTGTAGCATCTTAATGAAAGCTCAAGAAAGAGCAGAAGATACACATTTCAAACCATGAATTTGGAGACAGTTACTATGGATTGCAAGAAGAAAGAGTCGGTTAGTTCTGGATCAAATAAAGGTTGAAATGACAGTGGCATGTCATTAGAAAAAATGCCAACTGTTGGCCAATTGGGAGAATGAAAAGATCAGGAAAATTACGAATAAGATGCATGGACAGGATCAAAGTGATATTGGAATGTCTTTGGAAAACGTAGGTCCTACTGGGGGTGAGACTTTACTCAGGAGTTGAGCTTGACTCAGTGGCATCTATAGAACAAACTGCTCTTTGACCTAAACTATCATAAATTACTTGGTCACGTCAGCAAACGTGGCACTTCATCCCTCTGGCGAAAAGCTTCGGTGCCAGCATAAAACCCTGGGCGAATCTCCAGCTTGCGTTCTTCGCTGAAGTGTCTGTTTCTGCCTCCTTTCTCTTCTTCAATCCCTTACTGACTGACCTCTTATCCCATGACTGATTACTTTGCTCAGGAGCCTTCACTGGGGGCATGTTGTCAAAAGATCCTGGAAATTAACAGACACCAACTTCAGCTCTCCCCGCTCGCCTGGGGCAGCATTAGCTAGGAATAGTCACGACTACCTCGGTGGCAGGATAAGTCTTGGTTTGCTATTATTACACAAGCCTTCCTGAGAAATGTTCATAGGCGAAACAAGGGGATGGGAAAAGAAAGTTCTTCTGGTTGGGGCTGGTCCGGCAGGACAAGCGCCCCTCCCAGCTGCTGAGGAGGAGGAGGAGGAGGAGGAGGAGGAGGCAGTGACCACCCTGCTCCGGCTGGCACCAGCTGGCATGTGAGCTCTCTGAGCAGGAATTGCCGGACTGCCCCTTTCTCTCCTCTGCCCTCAGCTGAGGCTTCACCAAGGTCCGAAGAACACCAAAGCGAGGCGCGACGCGGGTGGAGCGCAAGGCGATACCCACCTCATCTGCCCGCTTGCGCCCTGCCCGCTCGCGCCCTGCCCGCTCGCGCTCATATGGCTCCGGGAGTCGCAGCCGGTCATCGCGCAGCCGCTCCAGAGCCTGGTCCCGGTCCCGCACCTGCCCGCAAGCCT